AAAGTCTCAATTCTATACTAATAAAACGGAATGAATTTGAAAATATAACAGATGTAACAATTATTAGTCTGGACATGATTTTTTTTTTTGGCTCAAATTTTTCTTTTTTTCACAAAGAAATATCATATGATCATATGCCCTGATCTTTAACAAGACAATAGAACATTTGATCTTGTAGTCTATGTTAATATCATATCTGTATTATCAACCGTATTGTCACCTGAAGTTAAATTAACATATTGTACGCTATTGACAAAAATATATAAAAAGTTTCAAATATACCATTTCTATAATATATAACTTAAAAAAATACTATAGCTTATTGTTTATTTTTAAACCATTTTTCATTAAATCGTAAGATTTTTTGGACAATTACAAAAATGCCATTTTTTGTGTGCCCATTTGCAAGAATGCCATTTAGGGGTGTCTATTTACAAAAATGCCACTAATTATAGATTTATAAAGTCTATATCTTAAAATTCTAAACCCTAAAAAATGTTTTGACACCTAAAACCTTCTAAACACTCAAAACTAAACTCTAATAGAATATAATTAACCCAAACATAAATAATATAAAGAAAAAATAATTTTGAAAAAGTGACATTTTTGTAAAGATTTCAAAAATGTGGCATTTTTGTAAAGTGGTATTTTTTGAAATTTCTCAAGATTTTTCTAAAAAAAAGAAAATTTATATCATAAGATCGTTTATAAAACATGTCTATGAAATTTTATAAATAATATTTATAAATTATTATAAGACTTTATAAAGTTTATATCATATTATAAAGTTGGGGCAATTACAAAAATACCACTTTTTGTATGCATATTTGCAAGAATGCCATTTAGGGGGTGTCTATTTACAAAAATGTCACTAATTATAGATTTATAAAACCTATATCTTAAAATTATAAACCGTAAAAAATGTTTTGACACCTAAAACCCCATAAACACTCAAAACTAAACCCTAATAGAACATAATTAACCCAAACATAAATAATATAAAGAAAAAATAATTTTGAAAAAGTGGTATTTTTATAAAGATTTCAAAAATGTGGTAATTATGTAAAGTGACACTTGAAAAGTGGCATTTTTTGAAATTTCTCAATAAAGTTTTTGTTTTGTTAATGTCTTGTTTATAAATTTTCAGCTTTTACTAAAAAAAAATGTCATGTTTATAAAGTTTAGTAAAGTAGTTATGAAAATGGAAACCACTTTACAACATTTATAAATTAGTTTATAAAAATGATATTTGAAGAGATGTATGACAATTAATAAAAGTTTTTTTTTGGAAACTTTGCAAATAGTAAAAATTCACCCATGCAAAATAAAAACTCAACTAACATGTACTCATTTTC